AATGGGAAAAGGCAGGAGTGGCCATTGATTTTTCTGTACGTGTCTCCTGCCTGTCTCCCCCATTGCCGTGAGTGCCCCTTCACTGCTCACTGCACGGCACTTGGGCACACGGGCGCTCATGCGTGGGTTGATGTAGGGTGGGCGCCATGTTGTCCCTTCTGTTGGGTGGGCCACAACAGAATGCAAAAGTCAGTGTTTTGTGTTCACTAATACTGGAGATTGAAGACAAGGCCTTTGTGCTGAGCTGCAGCCCCAGCCCTTTTTTATTCTTCCCTTAGAGACAGGGTCACACTAAGTCTCCAAGTTGCCTCCGCGAACTTGCCACCCTCCTGCCTTAGCCTGGAACCGGGTGTGCACCACCGTGCCCAGCAGGAGGGTCTGTTTCATGCGTGGAAAATCCCCAAGGAACAAGGACCAGAGGCTGAGAGCCGATGTTCTAACTCTACCACCTAACGGCTGGAAGAAGCTAGGTTGCCTTAAAGCTCCTAGTCTACACTTGCTCAAATTTGGAGGGAGCCCCACATTTCTTGGGCTAAATGTGGGTTGCAGTATCACAAAGGTAGTAAAGTATCCACAGGAAGCCTGCTCATCTGACTGTGGACCTGAGGAACCTCACGTCCACCCCAGTCCTTTGTGGAACTGGCCGCGGTGACTGGCTTCGCTCCACTTCGACACCACTGGGCACAGCTCTGGGCGCTGGGACTGGGGTCTCCTGGACAGAGGCGGCTGCCTCCCTGTAGCAATCTCTCTGCTGTTGGCTCCCATTTTATCATTTTAATCTGCAGGGACAAGACAGGAATACTGGGCTGCAAAGAGGGATGCAGCCAGTTGCCTCCCTCAGCCTGGCCCCAGTCCCCAGCAGAACCCTGTGCAGACCCTGTTGATGCTGGGGATTGGGCCAGGAGCGGGAGCTGAGGAGCTGTCTCGCTTTGATCGAAATCTTGTTATCGCAAGGTTTTATTCTGTCTTACGGAGTTGTGCAGATCAAATGAGAGAAGGGTGTGAGCATGTTTTTTAGCATAGAGATTAGTGTGGAGGACTACCCTACCAGAGGCTGTGTCTGACAGCAGGCCACACAGGGATTCAGTTTCCCTGGTGAGAAGTCATAAACCTGTTGACCCTTCACCCGCCCAGCAGTCAGGCTTTGAAGACACCAGTCATGACATTAGCCTGGCTTCCCTAGGGGTTCCGCGGGCCATCCCAGTGCACTCAATTAGGAAACCTGTGTTTTCTTTTGAAATGCCAGTGGCCACTGCATGCTGGCTCCAATACGGGGTTTCTTGGTCTCAGCACAGTGGATATGGTGACCCGGTCACTCTTTGATGTGGAGGCTGTCCTGTGCATTTTGAACATCTAGCTGCATCCTCGCTCTGACATCCTGGATTCCAATAGCGCTTCTCTCCCCAAGTGGTGTCAAAAATGTCTCATGTGCTGTGCTGGCCCCGCCCTGGGGGCGCTCTGAGACTGCAATTGAGACTGGGCGTGGTGGTGTGCTCCTCTGTAATCCCAGCCCTTGGGAGGCTGTAAACAGGCGGATCACTGTGAGTCCGATCTAGTAGTGAGATCCTGAACACTCTGTAGACCCTTCCCTAAAAAAAAAAAAAAAAAGTCTTCCACCATTGCCATATGTCCCCCTGTCACCTCCTGTTCAGACCATTGCTCCAGTAGAATAAATCTGTGAGGTGTGGATTTGTTAATCTATTTTGGTAGATATCAAAGCACAGCTTGGAGTTGTTAAGGAACCCACTAAAGGCCGTGTCACTAGAGTCTCTTCCAAGGGGCAAGGGATGCTCTGCCCCGCACGTGGGCCCTGCCCAGGCGTTGGCACACTTAGTCGGCAAACATGTATCAAGCACCTACCGTGTGCCAGGCAGTATTCTAGCCGTTGACTATCACTGACAGTTGGTGTGGGGTGACACAGAGCTGTAAAAGGCCGTTGGCCTGGGCTCCTTCCAAAGGTGCTCTAGTAACCTACTATAAACTGCGTGATTCAGTTAATATTTCTGCACATCTGAAACCCCCAATCGTTTTCATCCGTCTCGGATCAAGGTGCTGGCAGGCTTTATCTAGCTTCCCAAGGCTGTCTCTTTCCAGCCCCTCCTCCTCTTCAGAGCCTGCTGTGTAGCATCTTCCCTCTTCCAGGACCCCTTTTTCCATCCTTACATCTTTATCTGACACTGATCCTTCTGTCTCATTTATTTATTTAGCAGTACTAGGGATTGATCTCAGGATCGTGTGCTTGCCAGGCAGGCGCTTATGCCACTGAGCTATCCTCCCCCGCCCCCTGTCTCTCTTTTATAATGACGCTTATCATTATACTGGGACCCCTGCTAATTTGAAATAATTCTCCAACTCCATATCTTTAACTTAATCTCATCTGCAGAGGTCCTTTGCTATGCAAGCTATCAAATCACGAGTCTCAGAAATTAGGACCGGGATTGCTTTGGGATCACTTATTTAATGTACTGCAACTCTTCTTCCAGCCCCCAAATAGTCAAAATGTTACCTAAACCTCATCAGCTCCGAGCTCCCAAATCTCACCATCTAAATCGGTTTAAATCCGCACCTGTTTAGGCAGATGCAGCGGCTGGGTTCGATCCCCGCCCCCGGGCATGCTGAGATGGGGATTGAAGGATATATATATATATATATATATATATATATATATATATATTTCCTGCCTCAGGATGCCTTAAGGGCAGGTCTGGAAAGGCATGAGGATCTGGGGATCGAACCACAGTATCCTGAGCCTAACTGCTTTGCTTAAGCAGGCACTTAAACAACTGAGCTAATGGGCAGGCCCAGAGATGGGGGTTGAGACTGGGCATGGCGGCCTGCATCTGTAATCCCAGCTCTTTGGGAGGCTGAACACAGGTGGATCACTGTGAATCCATTGTACGTAGTGAGACTGTAGACCCTTACTAAAATAAATAAATAAATAGGCTCAGTTAAGTGTGGGTGAGTCTAGGCGTGTAATTCATCTTGGAGCAGTGTTTCTCTCCATCTGAGAATCCGTGAACCCGAACAACTCGTTACCTGCTTCCCTGTGCTGCGGTGAGTCAGGCGGAGGCTGCTGGTTGTAGACAGAATGACAGGGAAATAAAAGGGTTGTCAAACAGAAGAAATTGCAAAATCCAGTCGGCCCAGCTGCACTGGGTTCAAAACTTGGGAATAATTCTCTGTGGTTCCAGCTCTGCCCTCTCAGCCTGCAGGGCTGCCCTGGGGATCATCCTTCCTTTTCCAGGAAGGATAGCAGGTGTTTCTAGCTGCGCACTTCAACTGCCTGTTGAATTGGAGGCGCCTAACAGCCTTCTTTCATTCTATCCTTTCAATCTCCCACTCAGCCAACGCTCAGAGCGTTTGCTAGGCTGACATTTTCAAAAGCCCCTCAGGACTCTCTCCGTTTCTAGGCTCCGCCCCCTTAGAGGAGCAGCTCCTCTGAGGCTCTTTCCTGGATAATCCTGTCTATTCCTGGCCTCTGCCAAAATGCCTAAGGCGACTGTGAGTCACAGCGCAGAGCCCGCTGTGCCACTAGATGCTCGGGCACCTCAGAGCCTTCCGCGCTGGCAGAGGGCTCCCTCCAGCCGCGCCCTTGGTTTTCCGTCCAGGGCCCTCTTTCCTGACAGCGCAGCTCCTAATTTTAGCATCCTGTGCAATCTGGTCAGGCAGAGCTCGCCAAATCCGGTCCTGGTTCCTTCTTACTCCTCAGTTCTTTCCTCCCGCGTCTCTCTCCAAGCCGCAGGCAGCAAGCAGACCGTGTCTGCCACACTTCAGTTGGAAGTCGCTGGAGCCACACATCCAAGCACATCGTCTACAGGCTCTGCTCACCGTGGAACTCTAGGACACGATTTGGCTAAGAGTCTGTCCCCGCGTGGTGCTAATTCTCATCTCCAGCTTCCGGTTACGTGGGCCTCCTCGCCCGAGAGCTTGCCAGTGGCACCTTTAATGTCTGTATTTCTATCATGGGTCTGTTCAGGATGACTTCAAGATGATAAAGCTTTCCCACCCAGTGGTCCTCACTTTTCCTGAGCCCTCGGGGTTCACGGCTACCTCGGACTGGGATGTAGAGAGAGGCCTTTGAGGGACCCCTAGCCTATGACAGCTATTAGGTTTATTAGCCAATCATCAAACCATCATTGATTACCTTTCACCTTCTCAGATCTGTGATGGGGGATGACAAAGCTGACCCAAAATACTGAGGCCAGATCGTTCAGTGCAGTTTTCAGTCCTGGCGCAAATGTTGAAGGGTCCCTGGTCCCCTTAGAAGTGCCCTGGTTTGGGTGATATGTCTTCTGGTCACCAAATATAGATCTTAATGCTTAGGCATAGAGGCAAAATGAATGTGCACAAGATTTCCAGGCCGTTCTCGCCAAGTGCTGAAGTGGGGATCTTCCACTCTGTCCCCGCCCCATCTCAGGGAGGCGAGAGGGGCATGCCAGAAATGGCCAGGTGCTTGGCGTTAAGTGCTAAACGGTTCGACACTGACACACCGCCAGGCACCTGCAAGACGCAGGTTTGCAGTGTGGTTCCCGGACCCGCGGCCTCAGGAGGGCCTTGGGGAGGTGTGCGTTCCCATCCTGGGCCCGGTGAGTCAGAGACTCTGGGGTCTGCCTCTGTAGTCCATTCCAGCTTCGGAACCTGTCACACACTTGCACACACATGTGCCCGCCCTCTCTCTCTCTCTCTCTCTCTCTCTCTCTCACACACACACACACACACACACACACACACAATGTCTGAGCCTCTCAGGGATGCAAACACCGCAGTGACTCCCATAAATACGCTGCATCCATAGTGTCGCTTAGTTTTCCTGCCCTCTCTTCCCCCATCTCCAACACCATGACAACTCCTAGGTTGCGATGTTGTGATTAAATGCTAGTTTGGTGGGAGTTTAGTTCTTTGGTTCAAATGATCTATTTTTAAATGAGGTTTTTTGTTTTTTTTTTTCTCTCTCAGAACACCCTATCTTATTTTTCATCTTTTTCTCTGGCTGTTGGCAGGAGCTGAGGAAAAGCCTGGAACTTAGCACACATCTACAAAGGAAGCAAAAGGATTCTAGTGATGAGTACAGCTCTATTGAAGAAGACATCCTCTCTGAGCCCGAGGACCAGGCACCCCTGGGCTGTCCCAGCGGCGACCCCGCTCTTTTCAGTGTGGACTCAGGGCAGAACAGCTTTCCTGAGGACCAGGAGCAGGAAGGCCAGCTTGCCTCGGGCAAAGACGCCCTCACAGTGCTGGAATTCAATCAGGCTTCCAAAGGTGAGCTCTGTGGAGGGGATACTTCTTGCCTTCGGTGTCCCTGGCCTTCAGCTTCTGCAGCATCTTGAGTTTAGCTCTGAGTGTCTTGCAGGCCAGGGAGTTGTGTCTATGAAAATTCTATGGACTACAAGAGGCAAAGCCTCCCCTTGGCTCCCAAATGACCCTGAAGTCCCCTGTGGTAAATGTATGGCCCAAGGCTGCAGAGGGCCACCCTGTGCACCGTGAGAGGCTTAGCAGCACTTACCTGTCAGCTGGCTAATGCAAGGTAGCTTATACAAAAAGAGCCATTTATTGGCTCAGATAGCTGGAAAGATGGGAACTGCAGTAGGGCTCCTTTCTCCTCCCCTCCCCTCCCCTCCTCTGCGCTGCTCCTTTCTGCTCTCTCTTTTATCTTTCTTCTTTCTTTGCACTATTTCATTCTTGGGCAGACTGTCTAACACACCACAGCACTGTCGCCTTTGCATGAATCATTATTAGCTTTGCAACCCTATCAGCAAGTAAATCTTTCTTGCCTAAAAGCTCTAGCGCAAGTCCCAGGCATAACGCTCCAAACCACATGAGGGAAGCCACCCAGAATCCTAATAACAATGGCGCCGAGGCCCCGGTCTGCCCAGCAGTACTAACACTGTGTTGCGTCCACCTGCCCCTACGGATGGCCTGCACAGCAGAGGGCCGCTTGAAGAAGGAGGAAAGGCACCGGCTGGTGGAGCCACTGTGCGCCCGCCCGCCTGTGGACCAAAGCAAGCACAGCCATGGGTGAGGCAGGAAAGAGGACCCAGGCTTCCGGGAGGTGCCTCCTGCAGCAGGCCTGGCCTGGAGCCCTGGGCTGGGCGCAGGCCTCTGTGTGCTCCTTTCTCTGTATTCCGAGGTCATCCTCAAAGCTGCATGTGTGAGTCGCTTTCTTGTCACTGGGACGCAATAACCAACACCCCCAATTGGAGGACAGGGAGGTTGATTTGTCTCCAGGTTTTAGCCTGGGGTTGGGCGGCTCCTGGGCAGAGAATCAGCTTGACAGGGCTAAAGAGACACAGCTGCTTACCCCCTGTCCCCAGGGAGCCAAGAGCAAAGGAGGGAGCCAGGTGGGTGCGCCTGCCAGGCCATGCCCCTGAGATCCACTGTCCAGCCTGGCCCCTCCCCCTGGTGTCACATCAGCAGCGGTGCTCCCCACCTCAGCCCCCCTGGTGTCACATCAGCAGCGGTGCTCCCCACCTCAGCCCC